GTCCCCTTCTCGGCAGCCAAACTGATGGGCATCTAAACTGATTGACCTGACTTGAATTCAAAGGGGGTCAGGGGGATGGGAGCGGGTGGTGGGAGCGCCGTGTTCCGACGTGCACGTACAAAAAATAAAGTGATGGGGTGGGAATCTCTGAAGAGCTAACCAGGCGGCACCCTAAATTTATTTTCTTTCCTTCTCTCGCTTTCTCTCTCTCTCTCCATTTCTTGCTTTCTTTCTCTCTCCATTTCTTTCTCTCTCTATCTCCACTTTCTTTTTCTCTTTTTCTTTTTCTTTCTCTCTCCACTTTCTTTCTCTCTCCACTTTCTTTTTCTTTCTCTTTCTTTCTTTTTCTCTCTCTCTTTCTTTTTCTTTTTCTCCGAACTGCCAAAAAACCTCTTCCCTCTCCCCTTCACCCTTTAGCTTCTAACCCGAACGAGCCGGGCGCTCGGCTTCTCAACCCAGCCGACCCGCTTCGCCTACGAGTTCCCCTCGTACTCCCGAATAAACGGGCTGATGCAGCCGAGAACTGCTTAGGCTTTTGCGGGAGGCGAACCGGCGGCAATTTCCCCCTTGGGGATCTCCCGTGAAGGGGAGAATTGCCCCCATTTGAGACGAAGCAGGACCCGACGCAACCTGCCTTCGGCTATTAGAAGCCGGTGGGCCCGAGACTTCGTAGGGAAGGGCCCGGAGCCTCCAGACCGGGCCGGCTTGCCTTCCCTCCGTTCCCGGCGTCCTTTCCCTGCAGCCAGAGCCGTTTCTGCAAGGCCCCCAAGCAAAGCCCGAGCTCCGGGCGTCTTCCCCGCCTCCCCTTGGCTCCTGACTTCGGGGGTCCCTTTCTCGCCCAAGCCCCCTGCCCACTCCTGCCTCCTTCCAGCCAGCGCCGAGGAAGGAAGGAAGGAAGGAAGGAAGGAAGGAAGGAAGGAAGGAAGGAAGGAAGGAAGGAAGGAAGGAAGGAAGGAAGGAAGGAAGGAAGGAAGGAGCGGGGCTGCTTACCACGTAGGAGGAGAAGGCAGCCGCGGCCGCCGCCGCCGCCGCCGGGTCTGTGCCGTACTGGAGGTGCGAGTTGTAGCCGGGCGAGGGAGCGCTGAAGGCGGTGGAGCCGGCGTAGGGGGAAAAAGCCGAGCCGGACGGCGATCTGCCCAGCTCATCCGTCCGCGGACCGGAGATCACGCTGGTGCTGTAGGCAGGGCAGGAGTAGAGGGCCAGCGAGGCGGACGGCTGGTACAAGTAACCCTGAGGATACGACATGGCCGGAAGCTGCTGGCAGAGCTCCGCCAGCCAGCCAGCCAGCCCGCCCCAGCCAGCCCCGCAGCAGCCGCCGCCGCCGCCGCCAAAGCGCAACGCCGGTCCGAGCTTCGGGCTTGGTGCTCGGCTACTGGCTCTCTCCGGAGCGCGTCGTCGGAGCCTGCCGCGGCGGGCGCCTCTGCCAACGGCGGGCGGGCGGAGAAGCCCCTCTTCGCCGCCTCCCCTCCGCAGCGGCTGTGGCTGGAGTCTCCGGCGCGCGGCACCTTTCGCCCCCCCCTTGCCCCCCTTCTCCTCCTCTTCCTCCTCCTCTTCCTCCTCCTCCTCCTCTGCAGGCGTCTTCTTCTCCTCGCTCCCCCCCCCGCCTTCCGCTGGACGAGGAAAGGGTCGCTTTCTCCTCTTGGGCTCCTGGCTCGCTCCTTCTCCCTCGCCTGGCTTCTTGACCGCCCGCCCGCCCCCCTTCCCTGTGCGCGCTCCGCCAAAGGTCCTGCCAAGACGCGAAGTTGGAAATTGAGGATTCTGACGCCTCCGACGCAACGCGCCCGAGCTCCGCCTTCCGCGGGGGGGGGATGTTGGTGGAGCGAGAGAGGGCGACGGGGGGGGGNTCTCCTTCTCCTTCTCCTTCTCCTTCTCCTTCTCCTTCTCCTTCTCCTTCTCTCCCTCTCTCCCTCTCTCCCTTTCTTTCCCGCTCCCTGTTGCAGGAGAGGCATTTCTGATATCTTTCTGCCTCCAGGAAAACGGATCCGTCTTTCCAACCCTCGACCAGCCGAAGACCCCTTCCCACCTCCGGCTTCTGCGCTTCCGAAGTTTCCCTTTCAGCCTAAGGAACGACCCCTGAGCCCACCCTCACAAATGACAGGCCACTCCCTAAGCCCGCGCGGGGCCACCTTAGTTGCAAAGCGGCCGAGAACCAGCCTGCAAAGCTAGCCTGTTTGGCGAAGGGGGCTTCTTGGCTGGGACTGGACACCCTCCCCCCACCCTTAAGCCCGGTGGGTGAGTGGGCGGGCGAAGTCTCCTTTAGGCGACCTCTAAGCTTTCTTTGGGGAGAGGTGGAGGAGCGCGAGGTCTGCGCCCGGCAGCAGTCATATGTCTGGGCTCAACAGCTCGGCTCGCCCCTGTACGGAGGCTCTGGGGGGCGCTTAAGTCTCTGCGAAACTTTCTGGCGAGATTCGATTCGGCAGGTCGGGATTTGTTTATCTATTTTGCTTCCTTTAGTCAGGAGGGCGTAAGGGAGAGGGGGGACGGGTGGAGACACTCAAAGAGAGAGAGAGAGAGGGGGGGGAAGAAAGGAAGGAAGGAAGGAAGGAAAGAAAGAAAGAAAGAAAGGAAAGGAAGAAAAGAAGGAAGGAAGGAAGGAAGGAAAGAAAGAAAGAAAGAAAGAAAGAAAGAAAGAAAGGAAAGAAAGAAAGAAAGGAAGGAAGGAAGGAAAGAAAGAAAGAAAGGAAGGAAGGAAAGAAAGAAAGAAAGAAAGAAACGAAAGAAAGGAAGGAAAGAAAGAAAGAAGGAAGGAAGGAAGAAAGGAAAGAAAGGAAAGGAAGAAAAGAAGAAAGGAAGAAAGGAAGGAAAGAAAGGAAAGAAAGGAAAGAAAGAAAGAAAGAAAGAAACGAAAGAAAGGAAGGAAAGAAGGAAGGAAGAAAGGAAGGAAGGAAGGAAGGAAGGAAGGAAGGAAGAAAGAAAGAAAGAAAGAAAGAAAGAAAGAAAGAAAGAAAGAAAGAAAGAAAGAAAGACAAAACTCCCAGGAGGTTGAGAAAGAGGTTAGTTAGCAAGAAGGGAACGGCTCGCAGAAGTATAGTAGCGCTCCGAGCGCAGAATCGGCTGGGAACCGAATTTGGGGCGTCCGTATTTTTCCACCAAGCGTGTGTCCGCCGTTCTTACCCGGGAGAGGCTGGGATTTTCGGGTAAGGCTAATTTTGGACGCCTCCATCCATCCACCCACCCACCCACCCACCCCGGACGTTCAAGCGATTTTAGAAAGTTCTCCGCCAGGTGAGGCTGGGGATGAATTACGTTAGCAGGATCGATCCCCGCCAAACTGGCCTTATTGGGAAAAAAAAAAAAAAGATCGTTCTTAATTCTCAAGTCCTCGGAAGGGAACGATGTCTCGTTCATCCTCAGTTTTAAAACCGCCGCCCCATTTTCTTCCTAAAGAGAGCAGCGGCTTGAGGCTAAGATGCCGAGGCGGCCTGCTTTTCCGCGGACAAGCAGTTTCGTTGGCTAAGCCGGAGTCCGGGTTTTTACTCCCGAGTAAGGCAAGCACGGAGGCTACCTGTAAGGACGGGTACACAAGTTGGGCTCCACCAAAAAGTTTAAGTTGGGAGTCTACCGGATTTATTCGGAAGTAAGTTCCGTGGAATTTAATAAGCTCTCTCCAGTTTTTCCCCTCGCTTCCCCTCCCCTCCATTTCTCTTTCCCCCACCCTCGGGGGCGGGGGGGGCTGCACATAATTGTCCAATTACGACCCCCAAAGCAGCGGCGGTGTCGGTCTCCTCCTCATCCCAATTAAAGAAAAACAAACAAACCTGAGGCTACCAAATTCTTGGACCTAGGATGACATTTTGAAACCCCATCACCACCACCAAATTCTAGATATTCAATCTCTCTGATCAAAACTTTCCCGAGGGGGAAAAAAATGGTTAGCTCTCCCAGGATGGTTTTGTCATTCTTCCGGATCAAAGAAAGAAAGAGAAAGGAAAGAGGCAGAAGAGAAAGAATCTGAGTGCTTGATGGACCTCCTAGCACAGACAACTAACTGGTGCGGGGCAGCCAAATCTCCAGAGAGGTTCCCCCCCCTCGTTGCATATTTATTGATTCCTCTTCCTTTCTCTGATCGCAGCCTCTAATTCCTTTTTATGTGCTTGAAGGGTGCACATTCTTGGCTGGAGAAGAGTAATACTAATACTAGTAATCATAACAGATTCTAAGGCCTTTGGACCAACCTGAATTGATCCTACGCTCTCAGCATTTGCTAAACATAGAGAAAGAAAGAAAGAAAGAAAGAAAGAAAGAAAGAAAGAAAGAAAGAAAGAAAGAAAGAAAGAAGAGGGAGGGAGGGAGGGAGGAGGATAGAGGAAGGAAGGAGGGAGAGGAAGGAAGAAAGAAGGAAAGAAGAAAAGACAGGAAGGAAGGAGAAAAGAAAAGAAGGAAGGAAAGAAAGAAAGAGAAAGAAAGAAAGAAAGAGAGAAAGAGAGAAAGAAAGAAAGAAAAAGAAAGAAAGAAAGAAAGAAGAGGGAGGAAGGAGGATAGAGGAAGGAAGGAGGGAGAGGAAGGAAGGAAGAAGAAGACAGGAAGGAAGGAGAAAAGAAAAGAAAGAAGGAAGGAAAGAAAGAGAAAGAAAGAAAGAAAGAGAAAGAAAGAAAGAAAGAAAGAGAGAGAAAGAAAGAAAGAAAGAAAGAAAGAAGAGGGAGGAAGGAGGATAGAGGAAGGAAGGAGGGAGAGGAAGGAAGAAGGAAAGAAAAGAGAGGAAGGAAGGAGAAAAGGAGGAAGGAAGGAAAGAAAGAGGAGAAAAGGAGGAGGATAGAGGAAGGAAGGAGGAAGAGAAGGAAGGAGGGGAAGGACAGAGGAAGGAAGGAAAGTGAAAAGCAAGGAAGAAGGAAGGAAAGAAGGAAAGAGAAAAAAAAAGGAAGGAAGAAGGAAGAAAGGAAGGAGGAGGAAGGAATGAAAGAAGGGGAGGAGGAAGAGAAGGAGGTGGAAGAGAAGAAGGAAGACAATACTCAAAATATCTAATGATCTGAATAGGCGCATCCTGAAAATGATAGGCAAGGTTTGGGAACAGAGAGCACTTTCAACCCCCCCCCCCCCCAAGAATAGGGCTCCCTAAACTCAACCACTGAGGCAAGGCCAGATGCCCAGGCCAGTTCTAGACTGGACATCCAGGTAGGTAGTCCCAAGAAAATCTCCCAGCGTTCTCTCTGTCATTTAGGCAAAACCCTAAACCTCCTGGCCTATCAGACTCGCCCTGGGGTTGAATCAGAACCAGAATTAGGCCGAAACCAAGAATCAGCCACTGGTGCTCAGGGCACGATTTGAGACTAGCCCAAGTCAGTTGGTTGTGTTGTTGTTGTGAGGGAAGTGAAAATGCTAGGCAGGAAAGCGTTTAAGAAAGAAACCATAGTTTCTGTTGAGCTTCCAATCCAATTTCCGCCTCTCTTTATATTTTGAGGTGTTTCGAATTACAACTCCATAGATGCTGTAGCCCTGTGTAGCTTTCCCCAGCCAGCTACGTTTCTGGCTAAGTTCTGAAAATCATTTGCTGAGTGATGACACACACCTGATCAGAATTAAGAGAATCCCTGGATTTGTGTTACGGAAATGTTGCTGTTGTCTGCAAGCATCACAGGAACTTAAATCAATGGGCACTCCGTCCTGGATCATATACCCTGGATCATAAATCCTGGAATAAAGTATTTGCACTGCAGGTGCCACTAATTTTAAAACCTTTATTGTCCCGTGGGGTCAAGGGGTGCCAGGTAATTGCACAACACTTTCACTATTAACATCCAAAGTTTTATTCTTTATTATAATTAAAGCAACGAGCCCAGCATTAAAGTAAGGCAATCTCACCAGAAGCTTCCTTAGGACTTGAACTAGAACAGCTACCCTATTGTGACTCTGTGGCACCATGTTATGGTGATTTTATCATGGTTTTACCCCAGTTTAATATTTTATCTCACCTGTTGTGATGGCCATACTCTTCACCTATATGGATGTGCTGATGTTTTATTTAAACCTATATTCGTGTCTGTACATATAATGTGTTTTATTAGTGTTACATATCAGTGATTGCATGGCCTCTGTAGATGCTGTATGCTAATAAAGTAATAAAATAAAATAAACAATAAAATAAAATAATAAAATAAAATAAAATAAAATAAAATAAAATAAAATAAAATAAAATAATAAAATAAAATAATAAAATAAAATAAAATAAAATAAAATAAAATAAAATAAAATAAAATAAATAAAATAAAATAAAATAAAATAAAATAAAATAATTTCCATTTCCAAAA